AAAAAGTGTAAACCTCTTAGTTCTTCTTGCTATAGCAATATAATGTAAAATGTTTTCAAAACCGTTCATACCCTTAAAGAATACAGAGTTTGTATGTGAGTTGAAACAGGGTTCAGTTGTGATGGCTGCCGACCAGCTGTAAGACATAGTAGAGCTGCGTCCTTTGTTTAAGTCTGCAAGACAGTGCTAACCTCCTCCTCTGTGGCCATTAAAAGTATTGTGATTTCTCTTCAATTTAGTTCAACGATTGATGTCAACAAAAGCACTTCATATAGATCTTGAACGATATTCTTCCTCCTGCATTATCATTTAGGAAGTCTATGTCAAATTTATTGACATTTGTTACCCCTGCTTGCTTTTTGCAGTCTTAGTTGGCTGTCGTTTCTATCGCCTTTCCCTTTCGCTTCTAACTAGCCCCTGAAAATAATAGAGCTGAAACAGACTGTAATCCCTAAGCTTCTCCCAAGAAAAAAAAAAGGGTTTTCGGGGTTTTATTCGCTAAGAAAAACTTGTGAATAATTACTGAGTATAAGTATCTGTTTATTTGTAAGATAATGTGTGCACCCGGCACTCTGGTTTTGATTATTATCATTTTTTTCTAGTCTCTTTTTCTTAATTTAAAGTCCAGATTTTCATTTTTTTTTAAACACAAACTGGAGTGAAGCTCTACATAATTTATTAAGTCAATAAAACATTGGCCTAGCTTTAAATATATATCCTTATAAAGATTCATCCAAAGTTACATTTCTTTATTAAGAATTTTCAATGACAGTAACTGACTTTCTGCTTTAATATGTTCTCTGTTCGACAAAAACAACTCAGTGCTATTGGGCGTCATGTAAATTATTGATGAAATAAAACTCTTGACTACTGATTCATTTTCGTCTCCAAAAACAGCTTTTTAAAAACGCTCTGCAGAGTGTAAAGTTTTGAAAAAACTGTTTTTTTTCCTGTGCTCGTTTATTTCTTCCTCTTTCAACAGGTATGTTTCAACTGATATCCCTTGCTTGAAATCTCTTCTTTTGAAATGATTTATATTGAAATTTTCATGCCATACCGAAGCGAATTTAACCGCTATTTAATTCTAACCACGAGTTTCGTGCATGGACAAAAGAAACAGCTTGTCGTTAATTGGTCTTAAAAGAAAATAAAAGAGCTACAAAACGGAAATCCTATCCTCTCTTACCTACTACATCAGATCGGCGGCTCAGATGAATGTTATTGACTCGACTAGCTTGATATAATTTAGTGTTAAGCCAGTTTGCCAGTAAAGGATATAAAGGTGAAATTCAGAATTAGGTTATAAATCGATAAAAACGTAAATGTAACCAAAATAACTAAGGTGTCATCACTGGCAAACAATTACAACAAGAACAGACCTCGGCCCAGGCCCCTTTACTAGTCAAGAAGTTTCTGTTTCCTTTTACTCAAGCGGGAGAAACTCAAGAGACGTGTGAGGGCACTGGGGCAAGAAGGAACTAAAAATTTCAACGTGGGTCGGGAGGGCAAGGCCCCTCGCCCATGCTGCTATGTTTTGCTCGTCCTCGCATATATCCTGTTTGGCTGTAGACAACCGTTCACGTTGGTTTCATTTGGAATTCAGCTTTAATGTATGACTA